TTTCTGTGTTTGTCTACAGGTAGAGGCCTTGCGACGAGCTGATCACTCGCCCAAGGAGTCCTACCGAATGTGTAAGATCTAGTAAACCGAAGTGAAACGGAGAGTTTCAGGGAAATATGCCTAGGCCCAAATTGGGGCTGTAGCACCACAGGAAAAAAAAAAGTACACTCTAGTGGAAGTCCTGAATTTAAATTTTCACGTTTTGTGACTGAAGAACTTGGATTGAAGTAATTTTTTTAATTCACTTAGTGGGGGGTGGAGCCCAGCTGGGTCCACTCGGCACGGCGGCCACTGATTGGCCTATTGTAGCCTGCCCCGGGTGATTATGATGATGGAGAATTTGGTGGAATGAAGATGCAAATAACCATTACGAAGAAAGTGTATTAAAATATGAAACTATTAATCTCTCGACACTTTACTGTTATTCTGCTTATAGACCTATGCGTGAGCACATGCTTCATCGTAACTTGGCCAGTCATGTTTGATTTATGTTTGAAAACAATTGGTATTACCAGGGGCAATCCACGACCACCCCCCTTAACCTCTGATTGCTTTTTAACAGTCTCTTCTAGGCATTAGAGCCCTTTGTTTTATCTAACAGGTCCAGGTTTTCTAATGATGGGCACTGACACGCCTACTCCGTAATTAGAAGCTGTTCCATTTTTCATACCATACGTAATTCTCTGTCGCTAGAGGCGAGTTGTAGGAGGCGGTGGTACAGTAACTGGTCGTGACTACTACACCGAGCTGTCCCGAAGACAAAGGATAAGTCCATCTCCTCTGCGAACCAGGGTACGCCATATCTCACGGAAGAAAATATGTTTGAATTTCCCGCCGGTGAATGAGTGCTGGAAGTTACGTTGAAAATACAGTTTACTGACTTGCTAGTAATGACGTAACGGCCTACGTCACTGCCGATGACACGACCAACGTTCCCATAGCAGATGCAGCATAGTGCCAGTATGGTAGACTACGTGGTGTTTCATTGTCCCATTGAACCTATGCGGTAGCGTAGTTGGTTGAATCACTGTGCTACAAACCGGAAGGTCGCGGGTTAGATTCCCGATGCAGTCATTGGATTTTTTTCAACAGACATAATCATTCCAGCCGCACTGTGGCCCTGGAGTCGACTTAGCCTCTAACGGACGTAAGTACCAGGAATCTTCGTGGGGGGTAAAAAGCGGCCTGCGGGTAAGGCTGGCATCCTCACTGACAGTGGGTGCCGGGGACGATTTCCCCAGAGGTAAAGTGGCCGGGGCGTGAAGCTGGCCAATTTTCATCTAGTACAGAGGTCAAGAATGGTGGAGCTATACCTCCTCCCCCATACGTCTTCATGGCGTGATGCTTAATTATATGTGTGGGAACAGCTTTACTTCACCGCGTAAGAACTGGTTCTGGGGCTCATACAAGGTCTTAACCACTGGATATGGCTTCCCACCACTGCGATCTGGGCAAGTGGGATTTGTGATGGACAAAGTGGCGCTGGGGCAGGTTTCCTGCGAGTACTTCGGTTTGGGTGCTGCCACGTTTGCTTCCACGGGGCACAATTAGTCTTCGTCCGGGGAGAGAGGTCAGCAAGAAAGTTTGCTTGAAAACTAACGTTTAAGCTATTTAAGACTACTTCTGCCCGCCCTTGTAAATTTCGGTATTAATATTTTGTATGAAGAAAAAAGATAAAGCCATCCCTGTAACAGGCCGTGGAGGGCCGTAGGGTTGTGAGAATTCGAGGCTGCCACATTTTCTAGGCGGCTCACAGATGGCGGTGAGGTCAGCATTACGTGTCGGCCNCCTTTCCCCCCCCCCCCGGATGATTCCTGGTACTCGTTTCTGTTAGAGGCTTTGTCGACCCCAGGGCCATAGTCCGGCTGGAAAGAGTAGGTAAATTGAAAAATCCAGTAACAACGGGACTCGAACTCGCGACCATCCGGTTTGTAGCATAGCGCCTCTACCAACTACACTACCACGTGCCCCCAATATTTGGTATATTAATCGTAAATTTTAATTTTTCCAGATGTCTCTTGTCTGTTCCCTCCCGGCGCCCATGGCCGGTGTCTCTTTCGTTACGGATATGACGGCCTGGGGTGAAGTTCACCCCTCACTTGCATGTTGTTCAGAGGTTAAAGAATGCGTGAAATTGTACCGCCACACCCCTCCAGTGGGCACTGGGGGTTCTTACCCCGGGGTAAATTGGCAGGGCCGCGAAACTGACCACTCCCAACTAATGTCGAGGTATAGAATTATAGGGGCTATACTTCCACTACCCCATATGCTTTCATGGCGTTGGGCGTATTGAACTAAAGGCGCAAGTTTGTCTGCGAACTCCATGGTGTCTGTGTGTTCCCATCAAATTCTAAATGGCTGAACCAGTCTTTATGAAACTTGGGTTGTATATGATGGCGCCTGGGCGTACTCAATAGATCCCTCCCATCAGCCTGTATATCTGTATATAAAGTATGCGCCAAAAAGCTCAGTACTGAAACTCGCCCATCACTCTGTTTTGTACAACTACTATCATCATCATCAGTAATCTGTCAGACGACAGGTCCACAGTCTCTTCCAAAACAGTTTCTCCACTTAATGCGATCTTCTGTTTTTGGAAAGAGACTATCCAGGAAAAGTGATAATGTGGTAGTTTTTCCATTTGCTTTCCACATCGCAGTACAACAGCCGTTCAAACCACTCTGGTCACGCCTGTTGCTATACGAACTTGAACCATCTCGAGCATCATTTGCTCTGTGCTTCAAGTCGCTGCTGATGACGCTGCTTCCGACATCAGTTTTTGGTGTCTCTCTTCGTCTGATGCCTACCCTTTGATCTGTCCAGCAAGGGAGGCCCTGCCCGTAGCTACGCTACCGCTGGTATAGCTCTCAGGGTCCTTGGCATACTCAAACCCCCTCACCACGATAAGGTGGAGACACCAAGGAGGGGGGCACAACTACTATAAAGATTGGTTTTGTCCAATTTGAACTTCAAAGAAGAAGAGCATTCTATTCGTGAAAACAGTATAATCATAATTTTGAAACATTTGACACATACACGGGCGCTGTTTGTGACTCAAAATTTCACGTGTATCTCATCCTTCCTGATATTAAATTTTTCATTTGATGAATACACAACAGGATGCAAGAAACAATTGATGAATATCTTGAGGCAGAAGCGAGCGAGAACATATCCCACACGAGACGGACTTGTTCCTCCCTCCTCCTCTTGACAGGAACGTCCGCGGGCTGTTGCATACTTTCTGTTGTCTTAAAAAAGAAGTTTTGAGTGCAAAAAGGAAGACGAAAAAGTAGTTTTTACTGTTCTTTCTTCAATGTCAAACATACAACTTCCTGGGGTGAGACGGGCAGTGTTGTGTTGTTAGTCCTTATATGGTTACCTCCCCTCTCCTGGTACTCTGTATGGAGAAGACAGCGACCTTGAAACCAGTTTCTTTTTTGTCTCATACGAGCATCCGCGCTTGAATGTTTGTGGTTTTCGGCGGCAGCGTAATTGTTGTCGTCTTCGTTGTGTTTCCTGCGAGTCAGGATAGTTCAGTCAGTAAATTGACTGGTTATGTGCTTGCAGGACCTGGTTTCGATTCCCGGCAGGATCATGAATTCTTGATTTCACCGTCTCTAGACGGACTCAGTGGCCCAGAATCTTCTCGGGCGATCAGCCGTGCCAATGTTGAGTTAAAATCCAACGTTTCAGAGATCCCTGTCTCAATCATCAAGGCAGATGTCGTGAGTGACCATGCATCACTGTCAAATCAGTGCTTCATTGATTACTCAACACTGACATGTCTGTTCGCCCGAGAAGATGTTAGTTAGGTTTATTCGCCGTGAAAGCTTCAGAGTCAGAGCCAGTGTTACTTTACGGCTGGTGGTTTACAGGTAGTCAGTTCGTCTTGGTGCCAAGCCCCCTGAAACCCACAAGCAGTGTTTTGTTTTTCAACTGAACACTTGACGTCATAGTCCTTCTGTAACATCGCCCCTGACTAGAGGATGGGTCAGTCGTTTACAATGGTTGCTGGTCCTCGCCAGCGCAGTCATTCTCGGGTCTGAGTCCCGCGGGCCTCATGACCATATTTTAATGTCTCAAATTCGAGACTCCCCCAACCTGAAGGGCCAGGTCCCCATATTTATATCCCCCAGGAACAGGGTGGCCCGGTTATACCGCCAGGCATTGGACTCCCTTTTCGTCGCCTCCTACGACTCGCAGAGATACGGCAGAGGTATTCAAACCATCCTTCACACGGCGTTTGTGAAGGCTTCAGGTCTTAAGTTTGTGGCTCTATTTTCCGGGGGCAGAAGGGGGATGGAAGGCTCCTTCTGGAGCCGAGACCTATCCGCAAATAAACTTTCAGTCAACGGACTTTTATGAAATTTCGAATGAGTATCACATGGCCTCCCGATGAAGTCATTGAATTTTTATTCACTTGACCTAATCCTTTCGGCCACACTATGGCCCTGGGGTTGACTGAGCATCTAACAGAAATGAGTACCAGGAATTTTCCTGGGGAGTAAAGCGCGGCCGGCGCGTAAGGCTGACAACCGCACCGCCATCTTTGAACCGATTGTCTAGATAATATGGGACCATCAACGTCTCACAACCCTATGGGCCTTCACGGCCTGTTACAGGGATAGCTTTACTTACTTACTTACATGGCCTACTACTACAGACCACTGTGGCTGGTACTTGTAATTCGCTACCGACATAATGCCAGCATAGCCGGTCACAGTGGCCGCGCGGTCTAAGGCATGAACTGTCTTCACCCACTCAAACACTGGGATAGTGCTTTCGAATTCCACTTATGCATGGATGTCTGTGTTTGTGCTATCCTGTGTGCAGGTAGCGGCCTAGTGACGGCCTGATCCCCCATCCAAGGATCTTACCGACTATGTATAGGATCAAGACACTGAAAAGACGGTCAAGGCCCAACAAAGGGCTGTAGAGCCATAGATACTCGGCGATCTAGCGAAGTTGCAGTGGGAGGTGCACCAGCGCCACATAATGTAGCGTTGTGAAATGCTGTGAGGTAGTAGTATGTCAGTCTGGTTGAGTTATGGAGAATAGAGGTCAGCACTGTGGCGGCTACGTGAAAATTACGTTTAGCTTTTAGTGTAACGGCGATGACTTATCTACCGTCCGACAAGACTCCTCTGTCACACGGAACTTGGCTACCCTGATTAGTTCTTCTGTGTCGTATTTGGCATGCCCCGGATTCAAATCTCGGCCACCTATCACGACCGAAGGTTTTCATGATTTTCCACAGTCCCTCTAGGAAAATACGGTGTGGTCCCTCAAATTGGGTCACGACCACTTCGTTCCACATAATTTCGAATTTATTATTTCTGTTCGACAGTGTAGCCCTAACCCGTCTTGTGAGCTGCTGAAAGCGGTGTTAAGAAAGTAAAGAATAAAATGCAATTTTCTTTTGTACTTTCATTTCCCCTTCTTTCCTCCTCTCTCCTTTCTGCTCCTCTCGTCTCTTTTCATGTATTCTTTTTCACTGTTATACTGTTCTCTCTTTTCTCCTCGCTTGTCATATTTTTTGTTCTCCGGACCTCGTCTCTCCTCTCCTATAATCGTTTATGCTTTTTTCTCGACTCCAGCCCTCTTGTCTCCTATCCACCCCGGTTCTCTTCTCTTCCTCTCCTCTCCTCTAATCTTTCCCCCCTCCCTCCTCTGGACCTCTCCTCGACACTCCTTCCTTGGCCCCATGACTTTTCCAGTGCGGACTGAAACGCCGTGCGATTTGTCTGATGGGGACAGTATGGCAGGTTTGTACCTTATCACCAGGGCCCGGATTTTGATGACCTGAAAATATTTAAAAAATGACCGAAAAAATCCAGAAAGATGACCTAAAATATGACCCAAAAATGTAATATGCAGGGCCCGGATTTTGATGGCCTGAAAATATTTAAAAAATGACCGAAGAAATCCAAAAAAATGACCTAAAATATGACCCAAAAATATAATATGCAGGGCCCAGATGTTGATGACCTGAAAATATTTTAACAAGACCTATAAAATGACCGAAAAAATCCAGAAAAAGACCTAAAGCAGAAGAGAAAGAACACTTCGCTTCCATGTTATTCACATTTGAGAAAACATATGAAGAAATATTCCCTGAAATGGCCAAAAATGACAAGAAATACTCTTAAAAGCCCAAATATTTTTAACCAAAAAAAAAATACTCCCAAAATGAAAAAAATAACCTTAAACCTAAAACTGTCAAAAAATGACAAAATAATACCTATAAAATTTACATTTCTGTAACCAGCAGCTCATATCCGAGATTTATATATTTAAGAGCATCGCATAGGATAAAAGGAAAAAAAGATGACGTCATATAAATCCGGGCCCTGCCTGTCACATTCGTAGTGAAACGGAGTTTTAAACCGCTGAGTAAACATAACCTTATTGAACAAGTTCTGGTGTCGTGTCGTGTCGAAACAGTTTCTCATTGTTATAGGAGTGACTGTTGTTTTCTGCACCTTCATGAGACGCCTGCTCTTGAACAGTCTTCACGCTGCTTAGAACCGTGTCCAGGTGTTGTGGAGTCAATGCTAATTTTTAATGATTGACACAGCGAGGTAGATCACTATCCGATGATGACGTAGCCTCGAAGATGGCTGGAGTTTAATACAGCAATTCCAGGCCAACCGCAGTTTCTCACTTGTCTCGAGTTTTAATAACATTAAGAGAAGAACACAGACTGAGGGTGTTTGGGAACAGAGTGCTGAGGAGGAATGAAATCCTCCTGTTGAGAAATCCTGAGTAGCTGAGCGACTGTTAGCTTCTCAAGGACGACTCAGATCTATGAAGCGTTGCTAACCGAGGTATTTGGTTTCATGTGTATGTGGATTATCGTCCTATGTCTGGCCTAAGTCTCCCAAATTTGGTTCTATTTCCTTTTCTTTGTTGTGTGTTACTGGCGGCCTATCTCCGAAGGCTTTGCCCTTGACAGCCACTGTGTTTACCAGGAGTGCGAGCCATGCGATTGACAGCTTCTTATGGCTGAGACAAGTTGTGATGCTTTCAAGGTTGTGACTGTTCTGACTGTGATCTTTCGGGTTGTGAAGATGGAGGCAGCATGTTTTACCGAAACGTTGATATCCGCCTACAAGACCACACCGTGTCACAACCCAGAATGCCGCAGCTATTGCTTGTTCGCTACCCGAGTGTAAGGCTGTAACGTCGAATTCAGGTTTATTGTTAAAGAGGAGCAGAAAGACGCGGAAGAAAGCAGTTCACAGTCTCTTTTGTCCCTTTTAATAGTTGCCGTATGTCACTTGCTTTAACATAGAAGGCTCTGATCGGTCTATCTGTAAATTGCTACCAGCAGCAGCTCTACATGCTGGAAGTTTACATTTGTATACACGGCCAGACTGTGTTCTAGTGGTCAGAGTTCCTGGCTACAGAGCAAGAGGTCCGGGTTCCATTCCCGGCGCTACCAGATTTTCTGAGAAGTAGTGGGTCTGGAACGGTGTACACTCAGCCTCGTGAGGATAATTGAGGAGCTACTTGAATAGAAAAATAGCGGCTTCGGTCTTGAAAACCGAAATTAACGGCCGTGGGGATTCGTTGCGCTGACCACGCGACACCCTCTCTTCGCTAAAGTTGGCACTAACTTCGCCGACAAGCGGCGGTCTCTCGGTCGGTATAGTTCGCTTGCGGACTAAAACCACGGAGTTTGTTTTTGTATCTAAATAAGAAAGACGAGCAGACGAAGCCTGGGAACCATCTGCAAAGTTGTGCCATTTCTTCCCTTCACTTGTCACCTTCACTTTCCCTTCTTGTGTCAAAGGATCATTTACGAATTTGGTGGGTGTTTGTGAGAAAAACAACGAAAATTTTAGGAGGATAACCAGCGTACAGTACTAGGAACGTAAAACGTAAAGCTATCCCTGTAACAGGCCGTGAAGGTCCGTAGGGTTGTTAGACGTTGAGGCTCCCATATTTTCTAGACAATCAGGTCACAGATGGCGGTAAAATTGTCACCCTTACGCGCCGGCCGCCCTTTACCCCCAGGAAGATTCCTGGTACTCATTTCCGTTAGAGGCTGAATTGACCCCGGGGCCATATTACGGCTGGAAGGAACAGGTCAATTGAATAATCCGAAAACCTCATCGGGAATCGAACCCGCGACCTTCCGGCTTGTGGCATAGTGCCTACGCTATCCGAGTACGAAATGGCAGAGTTAGTTGCTGAATATCCTGAGACTTTTTTGTTTTTGTTTGTAGATTAGGTGATCAATGGGAGTTCCTGAATAACAAGCACAGGCCTGCCCTTTCGATACGGGGGGCTGTCTGCTTGTATTTACACAATCGGTAGAGCAATGTGACCTTTGAAGCATACACGTAGGCCTTTGTATGGCCTCTGGTGCTGAAACAAAGTCAAACAGAGGCAGTGGGAATCGGAAAAAAGTAGACACAAAAACCCACAACAGGACGTCAATGGATTACTTGCAGTAAGCCTACTCGAGAGTCACTTTCGTCTCTGGCCATACATAACCTGCAGGGAGATCTAAAATTACATGCAATGTATTTTTCTTGAACGAAGAGAAGGCGAGACAGTTAACCACAAGCCCGCTCACGTCTACTGTGTAAACTGAAAACATCGGAATGATTTTCACGCGGCCTCGTGTCCCAAAGTGAATATTACTGTGAACAAGGTTGTCCAGTTATACCCAACACTTGCTTTCTCTTCGTTGTTGTATAGTATATATTTTCCACTCTTATGTATATTTAAAGTGGGCCAGGATAGCTCAGTCGGTATAGCGACAAGCTACGGGCTGGACGACCAAGAGGCCGGAGTGGGTCAACAATTTTCTACGCGTCGAACAGACCTGCTCTGGGGCCAACCCAGCCTCCTATCCAATGGATATCCCTGGGGTTAAAAACGGCCGGGATGTAAAGCTGACCAGTTACCTCAAGCTAGTTCCGAGGTCAACAAAATATGGATCTGTATATCCACTCCCCCATACGCTTTCATGGCGTAGTGCTTAATTAGTTAAGCACAGGGACAAGTTTTTTTTTCCCCTTGTCACTACAGCCCCAGTGGGCCTAGGCCTACCTCCATGAACTTCTCCGTTCACTTCGGTTTTTCTAGATCTTACACATTCGGTAGGACTCCTTGGGCGGGTGACCAGCTCGTTGCAAGGCCTCTATCTGTACACAAACAGAGAAAAACGCGCACACACACAAACTAAACATCCATGCCCTGAGTGGGATTCGAACCCACGATCCCGGTTTCCAAGCGAGCGAAGACAGTGGGACAATTTTACTTTAGTGTATATTTAAAAGGAACTAAGCCATTGAAATCGCTCAGTTAATATCAACGCTCTTAGTCGATCATAGAATTGCCGTTTTGAGCCGGTTTAGCTCAGTCAGTGTAGTTACTAGCTGCGAGCTGAGCTGCCGGACACGAACAGTTTTCTTCGTAGTTCAGATGAACCCTCTGGCCTTCCAGCCTCTTGTACATTTTAGTTTCTGAAGCTTTTGCCTAAAGATAAAGCTATAGGAGCGTGAAGCTGACCTCAGTGTCATCTAGTGCCGAGGTTAAAATCTGCTAATCTTTACCCTGATATCCATGTGCGTGTACAAGATCACATCACCATTTAATGGCTAAAGTAACTGGTGAATACAGCTTAGCCGCTGAATAATCCTGTGGAAGTCTGAAGGCACTAATCACGTGCATGTGACGTGTGTGAATAGTCGGAAGTGACTTTGCGATGGCATGAATTGTGCTGAAACATGTCTGTCATGTTTTTCAATTGAAAAATACGCACTAATATGAAGCTTCAGAGGCGACATGACTCATTTCCTATAGTGACTGGATTTCGGGCTTGAAAGGAGGTTTGGCGTTCAGTTCCCGGCAGAGGCAGTGTACCCGTCTCCACCGTGACAAGATCCACTCTGGGGCTCACCGAGTCTCCTGTCAGTTGGGTACCAGGGATGATGCCATCCGACCATGTAGTTGACCAGTTACCTTCATTTAGTGCCCGAGGTTAAAAATGTGTCGATGCGACACGAGTAGACTGTTTATACAGATTCGTCAACACAGACGAGTATTCTAAACTAGCAGTCGCGTTTCTCACCGTCCCTGTGTTTTGTACAAGTTGTAACGGAAACCACTGCCCCCTTGTCTCGCTGCTACACTTTGCATTTTAAAGGTTTAAAATACTTATATTCTTAAAATACTGTGACGCATTCGGTAGGACTCCTTGGACGGGTGATCAGCTCGTCGTACACAAACACACAAAAACATCAAACATCAATCTCCTGGGTGGGATTCGAACCCACGGTCCCGGCTTCCGAGCGAGCGACTACGGTGCGTCCCTTAGACCGACCGGCACCATAACATGTAGTGTTCGACTAGTAGGTGAAGGCGAATAAGTCTGGAGCATGGATTATACGAATGTGCACAGGGACGTGAGAACTGCATGTGCTAGGATCCTGCAGTATAATATTATATTTGTGTGTAACTCGGTTTGCGTTAATCAGTGATTTGGAAGGAGACTGGATGGCGTGTTTAATTAATGCAGCCTATTATGATTTTGACATTAATTAAATGTTGTCAGTTTCAGACTACGTGTTTTTAGAGAACAGGGCCTTCCGTTTTTTGTTTTAATTAAGCGTATTATGGCTCTTTGTATCTGCTTGACGCCGGCATGTTTGAGGTAGTCGTTAAGTTTTAATAAGTTTAGTTATGTTTTAACAAATTTTTGTGAAGAATACTGTTTACATGCACGCTCTGAATGTCAGGCGACGGTCGTGTTTGATTAGATTTACTTAACGGTAACAGTTTTAACACATTGAGGAGGTAACTTCTTGTAATCGCGATGGAGCAACGAGTCATGATTGAAGTCTTACTCAGTTTCTTACGGTGGAACGCAGTACATTACATTGTGTCAGCGCACGACCACTGGATTCACCGTCCGTTCCAATCAACAGTAAGCTCTCTGAGTACAATATAATCTCATCTGATACCACGGCAAATAACCGCTCAATTGATACGTTATCTGACCTGTATACTGTGGTCTTAAATTGCTGGACTCTCTCATCGGAAATCTTTCGGTAGAAGCCATACACAGTATCTGTCTGTCCGTCCATGTTGCTACCACGTGGAGCACAGGGTGTCCGTGAAACGCTTCGTTTCACTTCAGTTTCTTAATCTTATACACAGTCGGTAGGACTTCCTGGAACGGGGAGTCAGCCCGTCGCAAGGACGCTACCTACACAGGAAAGCACAAACACAGAATAAACGCACACAAACATTCATTCCTCAAGTGGGATTCGAATCCACTATCCCAGTGTTCGAGTGGGCGAAGACGGTCCTTACCATAGACCACGCAGCCACTGTGATCGGCATGTGCGGTATGCAGAATATAAATAGCAAAAGCATAAAGCTGTTTCACTTATCGCAAGCCGCCGAGACAAGACTACGATCGCTTCTGTCTGTAATATTGCCCGCACTAATAATGATCCTTGTGGTTTAGGATTTTGCGTAAAAAATACGTGGGCCTACATTTTCTGTCATTCGGCCTGCGGTTTCCGTGTAATTTAGCAGATAATCTAAAACCTCTCTGAATTTTCTCCGATTTTGATTACAGCCCATGTTTATAGTTACGAATGAATGTTTAATTTTACTTTAGCCAAATTGTTTTGGGGAGGAGCAAGCATGAACAGGGTGTTATACTTTATGTTTCCATATGGTTTTTTGAATATAAGTTGCTGGAGGCCCAGGGGTGGTAAGGATATTGATGGAAACTGATAGAATTGAAGAACGGGAATACAGTTCTGAGATTTAATTTTCTTTTACCTTTGTTATTGATAAAGGAGTCGGTATAGTGACTAGCTACGGGCTGGACGCCCGAGGGCTCGGAGTTCGAGTCCCGGCAGGGTGAACAATTTTCTCTTCTCAGCGTCGTCCAGACCTGATCTGAGGCTCATCCAGTCTTCTGTACAATAGGTACTGAGGGCTGTTTCTTCGGGGTTAAAGCTGCTGGGGCGTGAAGTTCACTTACCTTCAACTATTGCCGAGGTCAGAAAGAATGTGGATCTATGCGTCAACTCCCCCACGCGTCTTCATGGCATAGTGCTTAATTGGTTAAGCACATGGCAACTTGTTTGTTGTTGATATAAGTCCGACACAGGAAATATAGGCGAGAGAGACACAGACTGATCCCAGGAAGCCGAATATTCCTGTCTCGTGGTGTGTAGAGATATCCTTTTGTGTTAGTAGGCAGGGCGTTGCTTGCTGATGCTGGAATTGGGCGAATAATTTTTCAGGTTCGATCGTACCCGTGATAACCTTGGTCTGCCCACCGCAGGTAGGCACCCTGTAATTTGCTGTGTGGAACAGTTGGTATAACGATATTCTTCTGGTTTTTCTTCAGCCACGGCAGCAGTGGAGGTAACGGCATATTTTCGAGACGCCTGGACTTCAGCTCCTTCAACTCCTTGCCCCGCCACAAGCTCAACTCCTACCACATCAAGGTAAGAACAAGACTTGCTTCGAGTTAGTAGGTAGCGTTTGGATATCTTGTGTACTTATATATGTTTCTGGTTTCTCTGTCACTAGTCTGGTTACTAGGCGACCATAGGTGCTCATAATGCATAATCCGATTTGTGTCCATCGTTGTTTCGTTGTTTGATGGATAAAATGATCACTATGCGTTGTCACGACAAACGTATAACACGTCGCAATGTATGGGTCTCTTCGTGACAGTAACCAGTTTCATTGTGTCAGTATTCATGAAGTTTATTTAGGAAAAATCCCTGAAGAAGGGACGGTTTGGCTAGTAAGGAATTAAGTTTTATAGGCGGCCGCGCCCTAGCTCAAGAGATTAGTCGCTGGCTTCCGACCGCGGCGGCCCGGGTTCGAGCCCGGGTCTGGTCAAGTGGGATTTGTGGTGGACAAAGTGGCACTTGGGCAGGTTTTCTCCGAGTACTTCGGTTTCTCCTGCCAGTCTTCATTCCAACAAATTCATCATCATNCCCCCCCCCAGACATGTTGATATATCTGCGTTGTAATGGTCACCACAAGAACAGGAGCAAGAGGTGGAGTCACGGTTCTTCTGCCACCTTGACGGGCTGTGCCCTCTGACATTCGGTAGGACTTCTCAGGCGGGTGATCAGCCCCTTTGTACGTCACTGCCTGCACAGGACACAAACACAGATATCTATGTCTCGAATGGGATTTGGAGCAAGAATGTTGACATACCTGCTTGGTGGGGGATGGAAACATATTGCAGCTGGACATACAGAACCAGCGGCAGGTCATTACGACCCAGAAGCCGCAAGTTGGACAGCCCTGATCAAGATAGTTGGTTCCTAAGCGTTTTCGTGTGGCAGCGCGTAGGTTTGTTGCATCCATCAGTTCACTTTCTTGGGGCTTCGTTTAAATTAATGGGAGCATTAGCTGTTTGGAACATATGTTTGAATGAGTAAATTTAANAGTGTGTAACTGTCACAGCATTTTGTTCTGCCCTTGTTCATTTTTCCATTTCTTCTAATATATATTGTTACTGATAAGTTAATAAGCGAGATTGAACGGTAAGCGCTATAACATTTACTGTTACGATTGTTTAAATTTCAATTTTTGGCTGTAAAGAAATATTTAATATGTGCCAGGACAGTTATTCTGGGCTAAGTAGCAGCAGCGTTTTTGTTCTTAAGAGAAAGAATTGCTTTGCTGTAACGAAGGAAGCGTACAGAGCACCCAGAACAGGGTACAAGAAGAGAAAATAGATTTTTGAATTTATCATTATTCACGAAAATGAAATCTGTGAACCTAAGGCCGAACCCGGGGTGGGCTGCTAAGTTATCCATGCACCTAGACAGACGAAGCGAGGAAACCTTCCACGTTGTTAGGAAAGTTTATGAATATCGCGTTTCAAGAAATTTGTATAAAAGTTTACGTTACCTGTTCTCCTGGACTTGTTTCTGCAATAGGCGGCGAGCGTAGGATGTTGATACTGTTCCGCCTGAAAAGACTGACCTTGAATTTGTCTTCATGGTCTGTGGGCGCCCGGGACTTGGAGGGAACAAGATGTGTGAAATATTAAGGAGGCCCACATGGATGTGAAGGGATGCGCAGATATTGGTCACGTGGGGCCCCGTTGTTTGTCACGGTTCCCTTCTTCCAGCGTGCGACCCTTCTATTGCCGTTTGTTCCTGAAGTGACAGTAAGCACCACGCTATGAAAACGTATGAGATAATCTCGGGACTAAAAGCAGGTGAGTGGTCTTCACACTCCAACCGCTTTACACCCCCGAGGAAAAGGCCATGATAACCATTTGATGCTACCGGAATTCGTAGGTCTTTGTACACGGTCTGACCACATCAGTATCTGCAGCGCTTGTTTTTGATAAAGACTGGATTGAGGGGAGCACGCGTTAGCGTAGATGGTTGAGGCACTGTGCTCTGGAAGGTCGCGGGTTCAATTCTTGATGAGATCATTAGAATTTTTAATTGACCTAATGCTTCCAGCCGCACTATGGCCTTGGGGTCGACTCAGTCTCTAACAGAAATGAGTACCAGGAGTCTTCCTGGGGATAAAGGTCGTCCCGGTGCGTAAGGCTGACAACTTCACCACCATGTGGGAGCCTCGACGTCTCACAACCCTATGGGCCTCCATGGCCTGTTACAGGGATAGCTCTATTCTTTTTTTTTGTGGGATTAAGGGCCATAATAGATGTCATTTATTATAACCCACGGACTTCTTTGGAACTGTACAGATGCCAGCAATGTCGATGTAATGACTGTGTTCAAGTTACCGTCTTCCTGGAATTGACATCGTGAAATCTGGTAGAAGAGGAGACTGTTAACGTTTCACAGAAACATGCTGTCTGAAGATGGAGGCAATATATTCCTCCAAAACGTTGGAAGTTTTCTACTAGTCTCTAGGAGATCACAAGATAATACCAGTTTTCATATTCATCGCCGGACGAAATTGAAATCTGACCACCGCGCTGTGAAAATGTATGAAGATTGGTTTTCTTCAGCCTCTCCAGTCTGTCCTAGCCCGCTTCATTTCACGTGCTGCCCAGTTCAGCGTTCGTTGTTATCTTATCACTGAAACTGAAAAATCGCCATAAAATAGCTCGATGGAGCTGAGCACTTCCTAAGAAGCTGCCAGTTGCTGAGGAATTTCCACACATTTTATGGAACCGGAAGGACAATGACCATGTTCACAAGAACCCTCAACTGTTCCTTATTCTGAGTCAGGTCAATCCACTCCATATTTGTGTAAGATCTATTTTAATATTATCCTCCTGCCTAGTCTCTTTCCTTCTGGCTTTCCCACCAAAATCCTAAATGCATCCATTGTTTACCCCATGCATGCTACATTCCCTGCCAATCTCATCCAAATTGACTTGATCATTCTCATCATACATGGTGAAGAATATAAGTTATGAAACGAATTGTCATAGCATCAGTACGCGTCCTGAACTACTGTGAAGTCATCTTCCCTTTCTTTTCTGATCGACCAAGTGCCCTTTCACCTCTTCGCCCACACCACGTTTGCATTCGTATGCAGTTAGTGACTTGTATAAGGGGTGGGCCTTCTTGGCCCCATTTAAGCTGAGTAACGCAAACAAACAAACATACATCAGACCTCAGTGAGAGGATCGTGGTTACTGATAAAAATAAACATCCTCTGTAGAGCCTAAACGCATTGGAAATTTAAAACCAAAATAAAACCATTCATATTACGTTTTTTCTGGGATGTGACGCAGTGTAGATTGGTGGAAAGACACCAGTGTTTCGGATAAATATGCTTCCTTCATCTTCAGGAAGCAGAATACTGGCCGCTGTGAGAACCTCAGATCTCTCATATAGGCCGTTGATGGTGAGGCCACTCCGCGCAGCGTCTGGAGGCCCAAATCCTAAGAGAGCCATGATTACGGTTCTTCTACCCTGAAGATTGAGTTGGAACCTTGGTTCAAGCTAGATTGCATCATATCATGGACGATCGTGATCGCGCTGCTGTGCGCTGTAAGTACTCAGAATGCCAAAGTTGAACGCTTTGAAGTAACGGGTTTGAGTGAGACATGGCTGCAGGAAAGGCAAGGCGTCTGGTTCCCGTGGCCGTGCAGCGTTCTCAGGACAGGTTTGTGGGTGCAGGTATCCCCAGCTATAATTGCGTTCCCACGAGTAATGGTGTAATTAAAGAAATTAGTCCAGTCTTCTTACTCCTTTGGTTTCTTACTTAAACCGGTCCTCATGCCTTTACGGTGTCCAGGTAGTTACAGACGGTAGGACTCCTCGTTGCAAGGCCTCTACTTAAACACAGAATAGACACACGCATACCAAACATCCATGCCTTGTATGGGATTCGAACGTACGATCCCGGGTTCCGAGCGAGCGAAGACATTTCATGACTTAGACCGCTCGGCTACCGTGACCGGCCTCCTTTAAAAGAAATTAAATTCCCATAGTCGGTCCACTCGGCACGGCGGCTACTGATTGGCCTATTGTAGCCTGCCCCGGGTGGTTATGATGATGGAGAATTTGGTGGAATGAAGATTGGCGGGGGAAACCGAAGAACCCGCCCCAGTGCCACTTTGTCCACCACAAATCCCACTTGCCCAGACCCGGGATCGAACCCGGGCCGCCGCGGTGGGAAGCCAGCGAATAACCGCTTGAGCTATGGCGCGGCCACGACCGACCTCCTTTGGTTTCACTGGTTTAAATTCTCATAGATAAATATATAATTCCGTTACTTGTAACTTCAGCTGTGTACGAATCATAATTATTTTGATTTAGACAAATGATTTGGTTGTATTTTAGGCTCTATCTGAGGCTCTACAGCCCTTATGTTGGGCCTTGGCCGCTTTTTCTGTTTCTGAGTATTGTGCAGAATTGTCAGAACCGTTTAGGATCTACAAGCATGTGCAAACTTACTGCAGACGACTGGCTAGTAATGGGTACCTCTGTCCGGAACTCACATGAACATAAAGCAGTGTACGTTATTTGTGACGCGTACTGTACATCTGAGAAGGTTACTGTTCACATATTGAATTAAACTTGTACGTAAAGTCAGAAATGTTGATCTGAAGGGATTCGTGTTTGTAATACCTTTACACTACTTTACGTACGTACCACAAGACTGTAATGGATTGTGAATTTCGTGTTGAAATCCGTCTTAGTTTCAGTATTAAGGGATTTTATTTTATACCGTTTTCAGAACCTTAAATCATCACATCTCCGCATAAGAAATTAACGTTGCTATGGGGAGGAAGACTTTAACTGGAAGTAATTTATAATTCCCTTATACATTCTGAACCGTTCTTCGGCAGAGGATGAAGGGTGCCGCCTAGCACGGCTTTATATTCGAAACTGATAACGCAATCTCTCCCTCCCGGTTCATACAAAGGTGAATAGGATTTTGGTGCCCTTTGAACGAATTGTACAGACCAGTTTTAATCTAGAAAGACTTAATGAATAACTTTCAACGTAAGAAGCGAAGCACGTGTCATAGTGTTTTGCTT